GGAAAGAAAGTCCACAGCTTTTATCACAGCTTCCCTGCCAAAAGTGAAGAGCCACTGCACTAGGACAGCCTCCCTTCCCAGAGGCGGGGCCTCACCTCTGCCTGACACCGTGTGGCTTACCACGCAGGACCTCAGCTCAGTTCCGTCTGTACATTCTCTTCTTCCCGGATATGCGCGGGGCCCCAAAGAGGTCCCAGGCACACTGTGGGGCAGGGGCGAGTCCCCTCCCCATTTTGCAAGGATTCTCTATCAAATGAGTGCTGTCAAGAGCTGAGAGCTGGGACTTGAAAGAGAGGAAATCTCTAGTCCCAGTTCTGCCACCTCCTAGCTACCTGCTCTTGGACAAGGCCCCTGAACTCTAGACCTCAGCTGCAACAAGGTGAGATTTAACAAACAACCAACCAATGAGGCAGCTATGAGGCTCAAGCACAATTACATCTGTGAAAGTGTGCTACAAAAAGCAGAGCAGGCAGGACCCTGCGGTGCTCCCTGGCACTGGATCCTCAAGCCACTGCAGCACCAACCTGGTCTGGGCATTTCTTGCCACCAAAAGAAGACACAAATGAGCTCCCAAGAGGAGGAAGAGGACCACCAGTGGTCCAAGAAGGGACCAGAGATCTTCTTCCTGTAGGAGGCCCAAGAAAGAGACACCTGCACAGTTGGGAGCATCCTGTCTACAAAAGGCCAGGCCAGGCCAGACCAGTGTGGAAGGGAGATCAGCAGGGACCCTGCGGGGCCCAGCCACAGCTGAAAAGCTCTACTCCAGACTACTCGAAAGTGCTAGGACACCACACAAGGCCTCAGACCCGCCTCTCCAGCCTCAGGCACTGAGTTGGGGCAAACCCATTTCTCAGAAAAGCCCACTTCAGACCCTGAATCTCCAGCGTTCACACTGTATGTGGTCAACATCAGGGCTAATAGACAATGAGCCGAGAAAACCCAAATGGCCAGGTGTGAGGGGAAAATAGGCAGTGACTCAAATAAAAACTCACTAAGTCAAGGACAGTTTACGCCCCCTCCCTGCTGAGTTGCTGGGCTCATTCCAGGCCCAAATGGTCTGGCCTTGACCCAGAAGGGGCCTCGGAGATGGGCCAACCCCTGGCAGCCATGAGGAAGAGGGCTCACAGCATCATTTCAGAGCCCAGAACAGGACTTTCCACCCCACGGCAATCGGGGACCTTTCCCCCGCCCTGCCCCACAAGAACTCACTACCCACCAAAGACTGGGTCTGCTGTCCGGAATATCTGAGTCTCCTTGGTAGAAAACACAAATTCAGTTAACACTCTTATCTATACTTCTCTTGATTTCTCAGTTTCTTTTTTTTTTTTGGCGAGGGGAATCGAACTCATGACTTTGTGCTTGCCAGGCAGGGACTGTGCCGCTGAGCTATATCCCTGGCCCCCTTGATTTCTAAAAAGGACTTCAGGCAACTAGCTAACTGACATTAAAATCACCTTGCTCAAGCTCACCCACAAAATAGGAGCCACTGGAACATCTTCCGACATCCTAATGGCTGTCCTGGCCTAGGTTACTCCAAGTGCAAAACATCTACTGTCTTGGTTCTACCCTTGACTCCTTCATTGTGTTAGCATATGTGCCTACTCTGTGCAACAGAGATCACTAGCTCACGGTCTCCACTACAGAAAAAGTTAATAAGCTGCAGCTAGAAAGACAAACCTGAAGAAGTTAGCCAGAACAGTGCAAACAAATGATACCTGCCGGGGGCCTGTGGAGCCAAAGCAGGCAGCGTTAGGAACCCTGAACCTAGAGTCAGTCAGGACCTGTGTTTGCATTCTAACTCTACCATTGTGATTAACCTCTCTGAACCTCAGCTTCTTCACCTACAAAACGGAGCCAGAAATGTGCTTCCTCTCACTGGCTGAGGAAATGAGGGACTGATCCCACCGCAGTTGGCTCACACTTCAATACATGAGAAGCGCCAACAGGGACTTCAGACAGGCAGCTTTTGTGAACAAGGAGACGGACTGATCACCATGGCCTGAACTGCTCATGAAGTCCTCCAGCAAGAAGAAATGAAAAGATAGATAGGATCTGAGTGGACGGAGAGAAACACACCCTAGGCAAGAGGAAGGGGTCCAGTAAGAAGGTATTACAGTCCCTCTAGCAAGGAGGAGCCGAGGCTAATGTGGAAATGGGAGACTACATGAAGATCTGAGGAAAGAGAAAAGCCACTCGTTTTCTTACTTTTCTGCCTGTGTATGCGCGTATGGTAATGAGAATCAAACTTCCAACGCAGCCAGCACTTTACTACTGAGCTAAAGCCAGCTTTCCAGTTGCTTCTCTGCTGCCCACCTCTCCAACTCAATGCCACCCCTTAATTTCCTCCAAAACCTCCATTCATCACTCCATTCCCCCTCCCTCATGAGCCGACTCCTGACTCTCAGGAAACAGGACACCATATGGGTCCCAAACTAGGGGAAAAGAAAGTTTTGATCCTCAAACCTACGAATCGGGCCAGGGAGATAACTCAGTGGTACAGCACTTACCTGGCAAGCACAAAGTCCTAAGTTTGATTCCAGCACCAAAAAAAAAAAAAACAAAACAACTAAAACCTATGAATCGTGGGCCTCCATCAGCATGACCTCATCTCTGGTAGCATCTTCTAAATGTCCACACCAATCCCAGCCATCTACACAACCCTGCTGCCGTTCCTCAGCAAGTCATGGACACCAAATCCATGGGCAAACTTCTCCTGTTAGTACATGGCTTCAAGATGGCAGAGTACACCAGAAATTACCCAGGAGAGGCTCACTTTATTAAGAGTACCAAGCATGGTTAAAAATCATTAGCTTCCCTGAAAGATACTCTGTAAAAGCAGCACAGATCTCAATTTGTATCAAGAGACTGGTTTAGCCAGGTATAGTGGTACACCCCTATAATCCCAGCTACTTGAAAAGCTAAGACAGGAAGATTACAAGTTCAAGATCAGTCTGGGAATCCCAGCAAGACCTTGTCTCCAAATACAGTTTGTTTGTTTGTTTGTTTGTATGTTTGTGACAGGGTCTCCCTTTGTAGTGCAGGCTGGTACTGAACTGTGGCTGGCCTCAAATTTGCAGCAATCCTCCTGCCTCTGCCTCCCAAGTGCTGGGATTATAGGCGTGTACCACCATGCCTGGCTCCAAATACAGTTCTGTAAAAAGCAGTAGGATGTAGGTCAGTGGTAAAGCCCTCAGCTAACATGTGAGGCTTTGAGTTCAATCTCCAGCACACCCCCAACAAAGAAAGAGACCTGCTGGAAACAGGCTCCCCTACCACCCACCCTCCCACCGTAAAATAAAACCACGTGCACGGTAGTCAAAGACAAACAATGAAGGGTTGGTTGTCCACAGGTTTTGTTCTGTTTTTTTAAGGCAAGATTCTTACAGGTACAAAAGTGAAACCCACCGACTATTTTTATGTGGCTGCTGTTCCTCTGACCTCCCCAGGTCCAATTCAGGAAACCCTCTGATTGGCACCACAGGATTTTCCCAAAGAACCACAACAGAATGAGCCAGTCATCTGCTCCTTTACCACTAACAGTTCACCCAGTCACAAGTACCACTCCTCGGCTTCCTTCTCAACCCTGGAAGGGCACAAGAACTGGTCTGCTTCCTCAGCATTCCACTTCAAGGGCATTAACTTTTCAATCACAACAAAATCCCACCAAAGCAAATATGCTCAAAACCAGGGAGTCTCCTGCTCAGTGCCAACTCCTCCGATTACAGGAGAAACTTTCTCACCATGACAGTAGTCACGGCGCTGGGATCTGACCGCCTGACACTCACCCAGATGGGCTCTTGCTTCAGGTCAGCTTCAAATCCCAGTGCAGGGGACACAGATAAGCTGGGGGAGCAGATGGGACCTCATGACATCAAAACGCCAACTTCCATGCACAGAGTATGGGCCATCTTCACCCACCTCATGCCAAAGACCAAGACCAAACAGATCACCTACTGTGCACACACACACTCAACTGTCCACAGGGCGGACAAGAAGCAAGAACTAGGAGGAAGCCATGAAGGTCCTTCTGCCACCTCCTTTTCCACTTTCTTCCCACTGATCACAGATCCTCAAACCTGACTTCAACCCAGGTTAAGAATCTTCCCCTGCCCCCGAGTACTGAGTACTGAATCCTTAGCACTGAGCTACATTCCTTTATGAGGCAATGTCTTGATAAGTCACTACACTGCCCAAGCTGGGCTTGAACTTGCAATCCTCCTACCTCAGTCTCCCAAAAGGCTGAGATTACAGGCATGTGCCACCATGTCCAGCTTTTTTTTTTAAGGGGATTACCACAGCAAATGGAAATAGGGCAGGTATCTCTCTCATAATAACTTCATAAATCTTAAAAAGCTCATGCACAGAGAAAATAAATGATAGGCTAGAAGACATTACCCCTAATGAAATTAATGATCACATGAACGTTGTGGACACAGGATTACGGACCGAGTATCCAGATTACACACTGTTTTACTGGACACAGCGCGATGCACACCCACCATACTCACACACTCACAAGTACCTACCTCCCCCTAACTTCAAACATTGCTGTCTGGAAAACAGGACAAGTGCCCATTGCACCAAAATCTCACTTAATCTCCCCTCCTATTCAAAAACCAAAGTTTCGCATTGCCTCTTCCTTGGTTGCAGTTACTTTTCTCACAAGCCAATACCCAAGAGGCTCAGCCCCGCCCAGCTAACTGTCCACTCTTAACACAAACTTTAGTCTGAGCCCCGCACACCACCACTCCATCCTCCAGAGAGGTGTCCACACTCTTCTACATAATGACAGCATTACGAAATGCTGTTCACCGCGTCAGAATACCTAGTGCACAGGGTACAGAGCCGAGGGCAGCAGAGAGGTGGGCGGGCAAGAGAACAGGAAGGCAAGGAAAAAATAAAGACCACTGCCAATTGGCGGTGTGTTTGCTTCTGGTACTAAAGAAGTTAGAGCCACCCAACCCTGTAATTATTACCAGGATTAAAAATCTGTTACTCACATAATCGTGAAAGGCTTTTGCTTCACTTGAATGTTCACAAGTGTCTCTCCTTTCAGGAGCTGCACAGTAAAGGTCCCAAAATACACTGCAAGTTGAAAAATAAAATAAGATCAGGTTACTAATGATTGCTTGTGCACACAGCGGCGAGTGCGGGACACACGATGCAAACAGCACCAAGTCTCCCAAAGGCTCTGTCCCACCTCAGCAGCTCCCACCAGGCAAACTGAGCCTAGAAAACAAAAACAAGGCACACACTGTCGTAAAAAATAACATTTGCCACCTTCCACACACCTGCCACAGGCCCGGTGCCTCACACTGACAGCCACCACACAATTCACGTGGGCCACTGAAGCTTGGAAGGGTGAGCACAGCCCACCCACGGACGCCCAGGGAGAAATCTGGATGGAAATCAACGCTTTCTCCTCTGCATTCCCTCTACCTTGACCCCAAACCAAAAATCAGCACAAAAAGGTTACAATGGCAAAGTCAGAACACCACTGTGATTCTCATTCACAGCAATCGGGCAACTCTAGCAATGAGGGAGCCTTACAGGTTCTTCATCCCAGAACCCACACCCCACTGTCTACCATCCACTAAAGCAAGGCTGGGACAACAGTGAATCTCAGGCCCTCTCACTAAGACAGAGCCCTCTTTGAAGTACACCTGTCCAGCAAAGAGTCGGGACAGGCAGGCAGGCCCAGAAGCACCACCCTAGCCTCTTGCAAGCACTAAACAAAGATGAGACGGTCACTGGTACTAGTAAGGGGCCTTAGAGACATTCTAAAACACGAGCCACACAGGCCAGGAGAGAACCATTCTGAAGGGCACAGCAAGCCCTGGAAATAAGGTCTGCCTCACAGTCCAGTGCTCCTGCTCCCATCAGAGCCAGCTCTGGTCACCAGACAAGCATCACACTCCAGGGGCACGAACGACACGACACGCCCACCTTCATCCAATCAGCTCACTGCTTCCTCTGTTGCCTACTGTTAAATCGAATGCGGCAACTTCTCACAAACCCGACCACAAGCACTCAAGGCCAGCACAGCCCAAGCCCAGCAACACTGACCCAACGCTCCTGAGTAGAGAAGCTTCGTGGAGTCTGTATATAACCAGAAAACCAGGGGTTCAACAGCTACGGGGGGGGGCTAGAGAATGTCCTTTTCTGCCTCCAGAGCTGCACATGGCATCATCACCTTCACGCCTAAGCCATCTTCCAGATATCAAATTCTCAGCCACTTCAAGGAGCTTTCACTCAAAGCCCAGGTTTCTCTACGACCCAGGGCAATGGGGCAGGCAACCCCATCCACACCCAGCCCTCCAAAACCAACTGCACCCAACCTACCACTCTCTCCTACAGGTGCCATCCTTGCACCACACCGGACACCTCTAATACGGCAGTTGGGAAGCTGGCAGAAGTAATTAAAAACTCGTTTCCTCTGCACAAGTTAGAACAGACACTTCATCTCCTGCTGTTCAAAGAGACTTGAAACAGTAACCTGAGCTGGCGGTCAGGTAAATGTGCTAAGATCCCAAGGACTCCACACTCCGTTCCCCTGAACTCCACCAAAATATCAAAAGCCACTCTGCTTTCTTTTCCTTTTCAAAAAAGATGTCAAAGACTCCACCAACCGGTCCCACAAAACACCCAGGTTACACACTCATGAAATCTTGCTCCCTTCGACCCTAAGCCTCCCTCCTGCCGCCTGCCACAAACCCCACGCTGAGACCAGTGGTGCAGGGTTCAGAGGCCTGGGGAGAGGGTGGAAGAGAGGAGAGAGCCCCTGACTGCAAGTGACAGGCACCCCGCAAGGCCTACGATCTTGGTGAAATAAAGCCTCGCTGTTCCAGGGATGCTGAGGGGCGGGGGCAGAGGACAGGAAGGTCCGGTCAGTCTGAATCAGAATCTTCACAGGAAGTGCAGCCCTGTCTTGCTTTCTCTCAGAGTGCCTGGGAAAGGCCCAGTAGATGTTCTGTCTTTAGGTTTGAGGCATACAGAAGAAAAAGGTAGGGACAGGCCAGCTGTAGCGCAGCCCTGGTGTCCCCTCCACCCCACCCCACCCCACCCCCCACGCCTCTCTAATTAAAGCAGCATGCAGGATTGACAAAAACCCTTCCAGTGGCCCACAGCAAGTCGGGAAAGGAAAGAGTTTCTACCCTGGCACCACAAGGTTGATGAGTGTTCTACAGAGCACAGACACCAGAAAAAACTTTGGGCAGCAGCCTCTTCTGCCCTTTCTTCCATGGGCAGGCCAGGTCTAAACCCCAGGGGTACCAGGCTCAGTGCAAACAGAGGGCCAAGGGTGTAGGGCCTGCTCCAGGCTTGTCTTTGTTCACTTGGACCCAGGGATGTAACACACACACACACACAAAACTGTCACCCAAACTTACCACCACCATGAGTGCAGAAACCCAGGCGGCTCTCCCAGCGTGATGTTTTTTTCCCATCGAATCTGGAAAAGAGGGAGCAGAGGCAGCTTAGAGCAGAGGAGGGGGCCTCAGGGGCTTCTCGGAGCCAAAAGGCTGTGAAGATCAACTAACAATAAATGCCAAAAGGTGATAAAAATTCAAAATGGTGGCCACAGTGGCTGCTCCTGAAAACAAAGGCTCTAAGAATAGTGGGGAAGAGGGGGTGTCAAGAAACTGGATAGTGGGGAGTCCCACTCACCTCTGACAAGAAGGTCTGTGCAGATTTCTGTGCTCCTACATGCAGTAAGTATTCGTAGACGTATAAAGCTAACCTGGAAAGTGGACAGGAGCAAACACAGAGAGGGAAGGGTCAGGTACACCGGGTGCTCATTCTAGACCTTGCCATCTGCTCTGTCCCATTGTGGCTGCGACCAGAGGTGAGCTGCTAGCCCACCCCAGGCAGGGCCGCCTGTGCCAACAGTTAGGGGGTGGGTAGCAGGTACGAAGCACTGCCTCTATGCACGGGAGCTAGACAGCAGGCCCCTAAACTTTGTCGGGGCCAAACCCACCTAGGTCTCTCAAACTCACTGGCTACCAGGGCCACCCTCCTCCTCCCGAACCACTCCTGCCCGCCACCCTCGTTCCAGCTTCGCGGTCCGGGCACACTCAGCCCCGGTCAGGGTGCTCCGCACGCTCTGGAGAGGGAAGCAAAGTGCCGCCCGCACCGCCTCCCCCTGAACAACTGTCTTCCAAGCCCGAAGCCAAGCCGGCGCCGCCGTTCCTGCCCAGCCCGGCGCCCCGGAGGGCGCGGAGCAGGCGGCGAGGCCGTGGGCAGGGACAGGCGAGCGCTGCCGGCCGAACAAAGCCACCGGCACGCACTCCTCACACCGCGGGCGGACAAAAGGAGCCATAGGGGCTGCAGAAGCCACGCGCCCCCTGCCCGCGCCCGGTGGGCA